GGGCCGCGGGGTTTAGATTCCCCCTTCGCAAAGCCCGTCCTCTCTCCCATCCCTCTCCGGGAGCGTTGGAGGAGGCTGGGAGGGCTGCGCTGGGCTGGCGTTTGCTCTGAATGACCGAGCTCTCCCATTCAAGACCTCGCAATCTCGAAGCAGGCAAGAGGGGGTTTTTTTCTTCTCTTTTTTTTTTTTCCTGTCTTGTCTGTCTTTTTTTTTTTTTCCCCTCTTCCTTTTTTTCTTTGCTGCTCCGCCGGGTTAGAAGCAAATCTCGGGGGCCGCGGAGAGAATTCGTTTTTTCGCCATCGTCATCGTTGCTATTATTATTTTTTTATTTTTTTTTTAACCTTCCTCCTTTTCCCATTTTGGATCTTAACCCTTTGATCTGTTTCCTTTAAAAGACTCTGATTCCCAACTCCCATCAGGGGGAGAGGGAGGAGAAATACAGGGGAGAAAAAAAACCCCCGAGCGAGTCGTGCTCTCAGCTGTTAGCCAGGTTGGTGGGGGACAAAAGTCCCTTTAAAATATTGAATGTCAGTTGCAAACCTAAGAAAAGAAAAATCCGATCCGGAGCGCTAAATTTAGGAGCTTTATATGGAACTTGGACTCTGCTGCTGGATTTTGTATGGATTTTTTTCAACCTTTGGTAAGTTTCGATTCACCTTCTGGGGTAAAAAGAAACAAATGGCTTTTAGGGGTGGTTAAGGCTTCGGGCTGTAAATCCTACAATGTCACGTTGGGGTTTTTTAACTGTTTGTGTTGCTTTTTTAACGAAGCGACAGGGACGTCGCGTTTTCTTGCTGGAGATCGCTAGCGTGCTGCTCTGTGGTTTATTTTATCCCCGATTTTAAAATCTGCTGCGGTTCATTATACATCGCGCGTGCTGCGGGGAGGGGGGGAGCCCAGCCGTTCACCCCCAGGCTTCCCCGTTGCAGGGAGGACAGACCCCAGCCTCCGCCCCTAGACTGCACTGAGCGACCGAAGCGGGTGGGGGGAAACGTCGCCAGAGGCTGCCGGCAGAGATGGCTGAGAATTGGAAGAACTGCTTCGAAGAGGAGCTCATCTGCCCCATTTGCCTGCACGTCTTTGTGGAGCCGGTCCAGCTGCCCTGCAAGCACAACTTCTGCCGGGGCTGCATCGGGGAGGAGCGACCGAAGCGGGTGGGGGGAAACGTCGCCAGAGGCTGCCGGCAGAGATGGCTGAGAATTGGAAGAACTGCTTCGAAGAGGAGGTCATCTGCCCCATTTGCCTGCACGTCTTTGTGGAGCCGGTCCAGCTGCCCTGCAAGCACAACTTCTGCCGGGGCTGCATCGGGGAGGCGTGGGCCAAGGAGTCGGGCTTGGTGCGGTGCCCGGAGTGCAACCAGGCCTACAACCAGAAGCCCAACCTGGAGAAGAACCTGAAGCTCACCAACATCGTGGAGAAGTTCAACTCCCTCAACCTGGAGAAGCCCCCCTCCGTCTTGCACTGCGTCTTTTGCCGCCGGGGCCCGCCACTGCCGGCCCAGAAGATCTGTTTGAGGTGCGAGGCCCCGTGTTGCCAGTCCCATGTCCAGACCCACCTGCAGCAACCCTCCACGGCCCGGGGCCATCTCCTGGTGGAGGCGGACGATGTGCGGGCCTGGAGCTGCCCCCAGCACAACGCCTACCGCCTGTACCACTGCGAGGCCGAGCAGGCGGC